TGTTTCTTGTGTGGTTGCCCCCCCCCCCCGAGGCAGTGTTCAATGGAAGTATGTTACCAGTTGCCGGTGCTGCCCCTGGACAGGCCGGTACCCAAGCATGTCCTGAGCCGCAGAGGTGCCATCAGCTTCAGTTCCAGCTCTGCATTGTTCGGATGCCCCAACCCAAGGCAGCTTTCTCAGGTAAGAGTCCACTTTGATGAAATATATATTTAGCAGATGGATGTTTTATCCTACATTAGACATTAAAGTTTATTGAAAGTTGAAACCCTTTTTTCTGAATATAGTTAAAACCCCTTGTCAGGTTTTTTTTTCTTCCAACTGCTGCCCCAGAGGCAACAAGGGGGAAGGGGGTGAGAGGAAGTCTCTCAAGTGAGGGCAAATTCCCTCTTAACCCCCTTTCACACTATAGCATTGCAGGAATGTGTGTTGCTGTGATATGCATTCGCAGGTGCTTCTTTCCCAGGTTTGGTGCGCGTGGGTTCCTGGACATGTGCGAGTATGCATGTTGCAAATTGTGACATGCGTTCTGCTTTTTTACTCCGCGCATTCAGACACCTCATTTTGCTTGGCTACATTTGGGGTGCCATTAACCAGTCATGGCATCACAAGCTGGTTCAGTGTTTGGTGTGCATTTCCTAAATGCACGCAAAAGTGTGTGCTTTTGTGCACATATGATGTGCGTTCACGTTACGCCACGGCTGTGAATGGGGACATAGCCACAAGATCAGGTGTCCCCACTTGATGATTTTCCCCTCTATTCCTATTCTGGTAACCTCTATAAAATGTTGGATTTGCCAGCACCTTTTTGTCTTGGTGACAATAGTTAATAGGACAAATATGATAAATGTACCCAGTGGGGACAGACCGTAATTAAAATCTTACAGGGGTTTTAATGGTTTCCCACTTCAAAGCTAAAAACCATAATGTAATGTCTGTTGTCAAAAACCTCTAATCTCACTATGGGTTTTTTTTTTTGGGGGATAGACATTTTGTCCATATCCTGTTACTAAGCCAGGTACCTCTTAAAAAAGGTTGTCCATATTTTGTCAGTGTCCATTTGTCTGCCTTTGGTGAAGGTAGCTGGCAAATGGTTAATAACAATACCAGAGTAGTGCAGGTACTATATTTTTAGTACTTTATTTTTCTTTTCACTTGCGTGGCAGGTCTTGGATGTGGTTTGTGGCTTCAGTTGTCTCTGCAATTATGGTTGGGAATTGGACAACACTTTCCCATCTGTTAGTTTACAGAGAAAGTGTGACAGTCTTTTCGTGTTTGATTACATATGACTACTGGTGCCTGCCTTGGCATAAAGTTCCATGTGTATTGACTGGCACTTTTACTGTATTGGTGCTGGAATTTTTAAGCATTTCTGGTACATTTGTTTTTATTATATATACACTCATAGTGTATAAGTGTGAACAGTACTGTAGGGGACCTACAGCAAGAAACGGACTCTACCTCTTCCTGCTCCCTATTGTTGGGGCTAGTTCACACCAGCCCCAGTGCGTTCTGACGCCGAAACGCACTGGATTGCATGCTGGCTCACTGCATTCTGGGGCATTGCATTGAAGTCAGTGGCACAGCAGCCACATCCCCTGCGGCCCCCTGGCCGCAGTGTGATCAGATCAGTGCCTGTGTTCCAGTCCGCTGTGGTCATAAAAAATAGTGCATGCAACCTAAAATCATCCCCTCCTACTGTTACCTGCAGTCCAGAATTGGAAATGGTGAGTGCCAAGGGCATTGAATGTCTTTTTTAGGCACCTGGGAGCTGTTTTACTTTTTTATGGTTATTCTTTGCTATCCATGGCCCCTCCAAATTTTTAAATTTATTAGTCAACAACCAAAGCGGCACAGCTGTCTCTGCAAACTTCCCTGGCCGGCCCCTTGCTTTTTGTGCATGAGAAATCTAAGAAAGAAAAAACTTCCATTCATTTCTATGGATCAGCCATCTGTTAGGGCTCATTCACAGAGTGTGAATTGCTGTACAAAAAACTGACCAATACTTCTACAGCCACGGGCAGCAGGCTGTACAGATGTAAATTCTTGAATGTGCGGGTGTCACGCAGGGGTGTCACCCGGAGCAAAGGCCGGGTGACACATCGCGGTGACGTCATTGCATATGTGCGGCCATCTAAGTGAAGCCTGTCGGCGGCCATCTTGGTTATGGATGCCGGCAGAGAGAGGAGGGGACGTTCACCCGGAGGGATGAGGTATGCTGCCGGGTCCCCTCCTCTCTCCTGACACTGTTGGGCTCTCGGTCTACGACCGAGTGCCCGACTTTTTAGAGTGGGTGATAGGGCTGCAACAACTAATCGACATAATCGATTGTAATCGATTATTGAAAAAGTTGTCAACTTTTTCAATAATCGATTAATCGGCTTTTGATAAGGTGCCCCTGTCCACAGCTCCACACACGTTGCGCGCCCCACCTCACGCTCGCCGCTGCCAGACCCGCCCGCATCCACGCTACACACGCCGCACCTCCTCCCCGCCTCACGCTCACCGCCCGCCCACATCCACGATCGGCACAGGGACGCGGGGAGAAGTAGTAAGGAGGAGAAGGTGTGGGGGGGGGGATGACAGCGGCAGATAGACAGGCCCAATCTCAGAAGCAAGTTGCTGGAAGACTGCTCAGGTACGACTGCACTTTCCCACACATGGTGCTCTATAATGTATTGCTGGGATTTTTATTCCTCTGTAGCTGATGGTACATTGTGCTGTACTGTATATTATACAGAGCAATGTACCATCAGCTATAGAGGAATACATTATACACTGTATGTATAATGTATTGCAGGGATTTGTTGTATTCCTATATAGCTGATGGTATTCTGCATTGCGCTGTATAGAGGACTACAAATCCCAGCAATAATACGTTATACAGCACAATACCACCAGCTATAGAGGAGTACAACAAATCCCAGCAATAATACATTATACAGCACAATGCCGAACACCACCAGCTATAGAGGACTACAAAACCCAGCAATAGTACATTATACAGCGCAATGCAGAATACCGCCATCTATAATGCATTATTGCTGGGTTTTGTAGTCCTCTATAGCCGGTGCCATTCTGCAATTATTCAATTTTACACTTTTAATTTCACTATATTGCACACCACACTTTTTTTTTTTCTTTTTTACTTCCACCGCTCCAAGTTTGCTCCTGTGATGGACTACAATCGCAATACAAACTAGCAGTCCCATCAATGGAGCCGTTTTTTTTAAATTTTAATTTTCTATCCGATTAACCGATTAATCGAACTTAATAATCGGCTAACTAATCGATTTTGAAAATAATCGTTAGCTGCAGCTCTAGTGGGTGACCCCAAAATGACTATCAGTCATTTTGGTGTCACCCCTCCAATGGTGTCACCGGGGTGCGGGCTGCACCTCCCTTCTGATGCCACTGGTGTCACGTCCATCCCCTTATCTATGTCTCTGGGCACAAACACACATTGGGGGGGAATTTATCAAAACTGGAGCAGCTGTGCATGACAACCAATAAGCTTCTATCTTCAGTTTGTTCAGTTAAGATTTGAAAATGAAAGAGATAACGTGATTGGTTGCCATGCACAGCTGCTCCAGATTTTGTCTGCTCCAGTTTTGATAAATTCCCTTCATTGTGTCCAGGGGCGATCATCTATCCCGAACGGCATTTAATGGTTCCATGTACGATTTTATATGCTGACTGCTGCTGGGGGTGAATTCACACCAGATGTGCTGGAGCTGCGCTTGAGAAAAAAAACAAAACAAAAACCGTCCAGTGCAGCAACACAAGATATGGCAATTTACCTTGTCACACCACTGTGTTACAATGGAATGCGTGCGTGCTGAAAATAAAATATTGCATGCACAACTGCCTTGCATTACGCCGTGCCCATAGAACTTAAAGACATGTCACTTGTGACATTTTAATTAAGTTCTAAAAAAAAGCCTGTCATTACTTTAATAGGCACGGTTGCTGCATCTGTACGGGCACACTTGGGGTTCCTGCAGCAAGAAGCGATATGTCCTTACTGCAGGAATCGCCAGACGCACATAATAGCCCTGTGTGATTGTAGCCCTAGACTTTGTAACAAAAGTCTAGTTATCCTTTTAATAACAACTCAATATATGTACTCACTGAGAATATTCTGCGTTCTCTTTAAGCTACTGTTTGTTTTTCTTGTGTGTGGCAGCAATTAGCTGGGTTTGTCTGTGTGGCCGAGAATATTGCACCTGTGCTCAAAAATACAAACTAACAAATATTTAAGATTCAGGTGTGTATCGGAGGACAAACCTTCTGTCTTCCTTGTAGACTTGAGGTAATGCTAAACTGGTGATTGTTATTAAAGTTAAAATAGTGCCACAATTGACATTTCATTAAATTCTATGTGCACAGTGTGCTGCGATGTGCTGAAAAAAGTACTGCATGTCGAAGCCATCTGAAACAAGGCAATTGCCTTGTCTTGCATTGGGGCTCTGCTGGAAAAACCAGCCAGCACAGTTCCAACTCATCCGGTGTGAATGGGCCCTAAAGGGAAAGGAAAGTATTATTGTTAGGATTCAGTATGTGTGTATGTATATTGTACTCTAGAGCAGTGGTTCTCAACCTGTGTAACCTCAGGACCCACATTTGTCCTTGGTCATTAAGTCGTGACACAAGTTGCACTGCAATGAAACGCACTGCATTGCACGCGATTGAACTGTGGGTGGGAGGTGCATTTGGGGTACTATTCAAATGAATGGCAGCGCAACACGCCTCCACCAAAACGCGTAGTAGGTGCGATTACGTGGTACAGTGTGTTCATTGCACAGGACCGTTCAATTAATACACTGTACTAGTGACAACGTGCCCTCAAAAACATTGACTGACACACACAACCACAGACACAATCTCCCACACACATATACATACATACATACATACATACATACATACATACATACATACATACATACACACACACATACACACTCTTTTTCTTTAAAGATCCCCCTCAGTCTCCCTACAGTACGAGAACTGGAGAAAATCCCCATCCTGGGGTCCAGTGTGAGCTGATGTGCTGTGATGGAGCTCCATCCATATATGCATTGCTTGTGCAACTCCCTTGTGTGCCATGTAGAGTTGCCAGAATGTGATGCCACTCCAGTCCAGGCACCTTTGCAGGGCACGCAAGGGAGTTGTAAGCAATA